TGTGTGTGTGTGTGCCTGTGCGTGTGTGTGCGTGTGTGTTTCTGTGCGTGTGTGTTTCTGTGCGTGTGTGTGTGTACGTGTGTAGCTGTGTGTGTGTGTGCGTGTGTAGCTGTGTGTGTGTGTGTGTGTGTGTGTGTAGCTGTGTGTGTCTGTATGTGTGTGTAGCTGTAGCTGTGTGTGTGTAGCTGTGTGTGTGTGTGTAGCTGTGTGTGTGTAGCTGTGTGTGTGTATGTCTGTGTGTCTTAGTCTACAAAAAAACAAGGCTGTCTGAGACAGAGGCCCCTGAACCATAACATAGCCAGGGTTCAGTTTCCCGTCTCACATCCTGCTGTAGAGACGTTACCACACACCCGTCCTGAGACTCCCATACTGCTCACTCTGCTCAGTCCTGGCGCACTCTCTTTCTCGCTCTCTCTCTATCTCTCTTTCTCTCTCTCTCTGTCTCTCTCTCCTTCCCTCTCTGTCTCCCTGTCTCTCTGGTTCCTGGACTTGTCCCTCCAGACTGGACTTGGACTTGGTGTGGGAAGCTGAGCAGGTTTTTATTGTCTTCGCTGTCCCGATGGTTGGGTGCTGCCTCTTCATACAACACAGGGTGAGTGAGGTCGCGATCCAGCCTCCGCCCAGCCACCCCCTGTCATGTATGCGGGGGCTGAGGTGTCAGAGGTGCGAGGGGGTCGCGCACTCTGGTCTGGCGTGCTTCTGTTTAGGGCTTGCTGGCTTTTGTTGGACAAAAGGCATCACGTTTCTCTGGGTTCTTGATGGCAGCGAAGCTCTTATCGAAATCGATATGTGTAGCGTCCAGTACGTCTGACAGTTATTCTGGAACGTTCTGCTGGGGCAGGAAAGCCAACAAGAACATTGTAGCTATGACGGTCAAGATAATCAGATTTATTTGGGTATAACAGATTTGAAAATTGATTGCTGTAACGTCATTTATATAAAACTATTTACTATTTTGTCCTGTATGTAATAAAGTGATACTGTGTAAAACGTAACAAAACAAAACCTTTTTACAGCATACTTTGCAGAATATTCCATTGCCCGAAGGCTTTTTAATCATTAAGGTACAATGTACAGTCTAAATGTCTGAGAGGTTCTGACCTAGGTCTGTGTATGAGAATGAGGGGGAGGGATTTTCTGATGCTGCTGCGGCTTCCTGCCATCACATGGGTGCAAGTTAATGTCCCAATAAGCAAAAGCGGTACAGCTGTGCTCTCTTCTGTAATCTCTGTCCCTGGCCTCAACCAGATCTGCCCAGTGGCAACGACATTAGCGGAAGAGTGATCAGGCATCTCTGACTGGGGGCTTCCCAGCCTACGTCTTCCGCCGGCCGCCGATCTTGCTGCCGTTCGCTGGGTGGCCCTTCTGCACATACCGACAACTATTGCGGTCTGACTCACTAGTTAACCGTCGGCGGGTTTCATTTTGCGTGGAGCCCGTGTTACGTGGCCGTGCCGTACTGCTGGGGAACGTGTGCCACAGGTTGCTGAGGGCTCCGGTCGTGTTAGCAAGGCTGTAAGCGGTTTTGTTCCAAATGCAAACAGCTTTGGTTTCACAGGAAGTGGATGCTACATTTCCTAGTCAGTTAAGACAGGTGGAATCGAACGAAGAAGAAAACTCATAGCTGAATGCTACTGAATACCAGGAGTAGTTTAAATGTGCTGTGAGACCAATCGTGATTAAAATATCTGCTGAGTGACTTTAAGTCTCATATAGAAACTAACGAATTATTTACATTTGCAGTATGTGGCCAGGGGCCCCCTAGTGGCGGGACAGACTGGTGTATGAGCCACCTGCAAGTCAAGTGTCTCCTGTGAGCTGAAATTTTTGGGTCCCGGCATTGAGAATTTTCAAAGCATAGCTCTCTGCCACAGCGCCATGGCAATGGATTTTACTAGAAAGTGATATCCCAGCTGCAGCTTCTACATGACAGAATTAGCAATAGACTCAATACTGTAGGAAAATCAGGAGAAAAATGACAGAAATTGATTTTTGTTTTTTTATGGCAGAACAAGCATATTAGTGATAAGAATGTTAACAGTGAATCAGAATAAACAGCTGACTGTATAACAGGTTCTAACACTGATCTGCAGATCAGGACAGGGATTCCCTTCAATGCAAGTCAGAAACAGGTGTTAATTCCCAGAAAGCCACAGTGATGTTTACCAGCTGTAGGGTTAAAATTCCAGCTTTGGAATTAGAATCAAAGGTATATATTTGGTTTTAACACTGGTAGGGACCAAATTAGACTCAAACCCTCCTACCCCCTAAACACACAGTACTTCCACAATATTGGTTCGGGCACGTCCCCACCATCTATACCCAAACCTACACCCTTACTTAGAATTACTGGTAACTGTCTCGAAAGTATGCAGAAGATGGATTTCATGAGTGACCTGGACATGACAGAAGTGGGCCTCGTCTCATCTGCATGTCTTCTGCTCTGAAGGCAGGTTGTGGTGTCAGTCTCTCCTGTTAAGAAAAGGAGTTACTGCCTCCTTATCAGACACACGCTCAATCTCAGTAGGGAAGGGTAACTGCATTTATCAAACAGTATCAAAAAAATACCAAAAAAAAAAAAAATCAGTTGTGAACAAACAAAACACATGGAAACTTCCCTTCTGTTTTTAGTTCCGTTTATCTTTGAAATTTTAATTTTCTGCACAGTAACTATCAAAAATTGAGGGAGTACTGTCCCTTTCTCTGCATGTAAATAATTACTGTTTTTAATTTCTTGAAATACCACCTTTTTCTTGGGCTGTTATGTAAAATTATTATTTAAAAGCATTCCAAGAAAATAAGCAGGTTTATTCTGGCCTCTTGTCACATTATCTGGGGGCTGTAAATGAAACGATGCCATTACAGATTGACAGCTGAGTTTATGTCATTAGAGATTGATGTTCTGCTGCCTCTTGTAATAAGCCTCCTGAGATGAGCCAGTTCCGTTGGGTCCTAGCAGCCGTGTGTCTCAGGACAGGTATGATCTCTTTTCGGCCCCCATATTAAGCCCGGTCTCCATTTTCACATTTCAGAAGAAGCGGAAACAGAGGAAGAGAGATGCCGACTCCCTCAGCCTGTGCAGCCTGGACATCAATGTGAGTACAAACTGCCAACTTACCCACTCTGCTCCCTATAGCTGCCCTCCTGTCTGCCTGTTTCAACCAGCCTGCAATTCAAGGCTGCCCGAACCAAAGCCTGTTTCATTTACATTTTATTTTTTAAGTGTTTCCATTTGCTTAGTTTTTCAATAGATTTAGACTAAGGTTTCTTGATGTAAAAATGTAATAAGTCTGTTTTCCTCATGCCAAATTACTGCACCAGGTTTTATTTTGCAAATACTTTAGTGTCTTTTTGATGTTCTCCCAAGGTGATGTTGATTGGTGTTGAAGGTAAACTTCTTCTGTTATGCAAGGAAAAATATTTGGCCCCTTTTCCCTACCTGACAGATGCCATTGTGAAATGGATTGTTTCTCAGAACAGATTATTATGTGGTTGCTGAAACAAAATAATGGCAAGGTCATGTGACCATCACAGCAATTCCTAACCCTGATGAATGTGCTTAAAAAACATCTAATAATATTACGACTGTTGAATAACATCTCTCCTATTTAACCATGCTCTTTGAAGGTTTGAAGTCTATGGAGAGTTTTAAATTTAAGACTTTGTTATAAGAGTAATGTCGCTAAGTGTAACATTTAAGACTCTACACCTTTGTGTGCAAATTTTCGTAGCCAGAAAGCTCACCTCCTTCCAGGCAACGGAACGTACTGTACTTGATCCGAAGCCAAGTCCTCCCTCCTCACAGGAGGCAGTGTCTGCAGAACCTCTTGCATTGTTTTTAAGATTGTACCCGGATGACTCTGGATAAAAGCAGAAACAAATTCCCCTTCAAGATGTTTTAACCCTTTGTTACCCTCTGGGGCACAAAGCTTTATTCTCAGTGTGTTGTTTGTCGTGCTGTTTGCCTAGCATCACCCCCTGGGTGTGGTCCTACATATGGGAATGATCTGTGGTGCCTAGTCACTCTGTTCGCTGAGGCATTCCACCTAAATATACGTTTCCATGCACACTGCCTTTGTCCCAAGGAGCATATTTATGCCAGTCCATGGTGTAATGTGTCTTTTTTCCAATACTCTGTGTCTTAGATGCGATATATTTTTAGACCTGATATGTTTAGATACGTCTTCTGCGTGTTCGTCTGTTAGGCTTGTTTATCTCCTTGCAAGGCATTCGTTTAGTCCTGGTGCTGCATTAGAATATTCAGATCTCACCGGCATCCACACGATTTTAAGATGTACAAAGGCCTTAAATTCACATATATGTGAACATTTGTGGGCGTATGTGGAAGTTCACTTGGAGGTGTGCACATGTGTGATTGACCGGAAGGGATGTACAGGAGAGGAACATTTCTCCAGTCTACTAACTTGTCAAATGTGGGCTTATGGGTAATACAGAGGTGATTTACATAATCGTTTAGCTTTCAAGAAACCCTTTGCATTTGATAGTAAGAGTTAAATAATAGTCAATAAGAGTTAACAGAAAAGAATCTGTCATTGGGAGTTTTAACAGTGAGAGAAGACAAGGGATTTTTTTCTGATTTTGCCTGATAATGACTAAATGAAGGAAATTTTTCCAGCAATGACGAAATGTACCTTTGTGAGATGGCAGTCATCTCCCATGACACGTGGATGTGTTACTGTACATCAACGTGCATGTTTTGTTAGCGCACAACCATGAACATCACTGTCGTGTTAATACTTGGGTTCCATGGCTGTGCTGAAGCTCGTCCATCTAGTGGTGGCTACCAGTAAAGACAACAACTTTCACTTCTAAAAGCAATATCGCCTCATTTATTTAAATGTCTTACACACTTGCCACAGTATGAAGGGACCCAGTTACTGGGAATTGAATTGAATGTCATTACAGAGTTATAGGAACACCACACCCCCCTTGGGACAATGTCTTGTGTTTTTACTACACATTTAACTTCTGAAAAACCTGAGAACGAGAAAAAAAATAACGAATAATATATTTTGTTCAGGTATAAGCAAGTGGGTTACCTGCCAGCAGGGTGATCTTAGCAACAAGGATAAAGTTTGGATTAGCGGAAATCCTTTGTTCTCCCTCAAATAGCAGGGCTATTTTTGCTGGGAAGTATTTGATTCCAAACTATTTTGTGCTTTTTTTTTCTACTGAGGAAGGTCCTTAGATCCCGGTTGGAGGTCAAACAGGTCACACAGAATCCGGTGCATCCCAAAGACTGCGGCTTTTTCTGTGTGTCATGTTAGCCATACTGCTTTTCAAAGATGGTTAACAATATCTATTTTGAATTGCAACACAATGCAGAATTGAATCCAATACGGGCAGTTCTTGACTGATTTAAGTAATCTGTTGCACAAACCCTTACGCAAGTCAAATTTTACATAAATCCGATTTACACTCCCGTCTTATACCACAAAACACATAAGCCAAAAATACCTACACACATTAAATAAATTAAAAGATCAAGTATAAATTTACTTACAGACGTACCTGTCCAGATTTATTTGGTTTTATGTAAGTCGAGAGCTGCCTGTAATTTTCATTGTAGGGAATATTCTTTGTTATTCTTCAGTGTCTTTGCCATCGCAGAGAAGCGCTTCAAAATAATTTAAAGCTTAAAGGTCTTTACAACGATTCCCAGTGTTGACCAAGCAGAAATTTCATCTCGTATCTCTATCCTGCAAACTGTGACGGGAAGCAGGTAATGGCACAGAATGACACAGTAGTTGTTTATTTAATTGAACCATAACATTGTAAATCTGTTCTCAGCTTGCAAACATTACAATGTGTGCAATAGACAGAACACTGTTGGTCAAAAAGGGAAAGACAGTTCATCACCCTAGGCAGATCAGACAAAAGCTTGCATAGACATGAGTAAAGAAGCAACCTGTGTCTTTGCTAATCTAGTTCTGAGGTCCATGTCTAATTCTAAATTATTATGCTGGTCAATGCTGTGCTAAACACAGCAAAGAGATAATTATCATCTCTTTTTTGTTAGGCTTTATTTATTTAAGAGTGACTTGTTTTGTTGGCTGTACCAGCATCAATCACATTTGTGACTAAGAGGTCAATAAATCTTTGAAATGTACGTAATCATAAACCACTAGCAGATGAGGGGGTTCTTACTGTAAACTACCAGAAATATGCAGAAGCTTTTAGGTCATACACACTAGTTGACCAAATACACAAAGCAGGCTCTAATATTCCAATTATTCATAATGTTTAGGTTTAGGGTGCAGAAATTCTGCTCTAGGCTTTCAGAAACCAAGATCGACCATTTTTCGGGAGTAGGGAGAATTGTGATCGTGATAATTTTTGGGTGGAGTTTTTTTTTTTTTTTTTTTGCAAGTTACATCTGCCAATGCCTGCCCAAAAACAGAGTGGTGCGAGCATGCTTTTTAAAATCTGCTGATTTGCAGGTTGATGATTACTGTTCTCCACCACACCTTGCTTTTTATGTAGTAGAACTCAGCAACCTAACGGCTACTAAATGTGGCCTAGGAAGTCAGATGGATGATACTGTGACTCCCATGTACTTGCTGAGCTGGTTGTTTTATCCAAACTATCTGGAAAAAGTTGGATATTTTTATCAGAAGCCATCAAGGCCCCTCCTCTGAAAGGAACATCAACCCAGCAAAGTCTGGGTTATAGTGTATGTCATGCAGTCTATGGCCTTATCGCTAAGATTATGGAATCACTTTAAAGTCATTTCGTCTACTGTGTGGCACACGCAACACTTTTCGGTAGCATTTTTCAAATGAGAAATACAGTCGTGCCACATATGACTTTGATCAATGACAGACAGTGGTCCCATGAGATTATACCGTAATGGAGCTATCAAAATTTCTACTGCCTAGGGACATCATAGCACAATGCATTACTCACGTGTTTGTGGTGATGCTGGCATATGCAAACCTACTGTGCTACCCGCGATATACAATTATGTACAGGACATAATATTTGATAATGATAATAATTATATTGCCGGTTTATGTATAGACTATGCCAAGAGTGCACTCTTTCTACTTATAAAAAACGTTTACTGTAGCCTAAGTTGGTATAAGTACACTCTATGATATTCACACAATGACGAGAATGCCTAAGCGCAACGCGAAAATATCCTCAGTCTAGCTATAGCGATACTCTGCTATAGTAGGATTTACACACTGCAGTGTTTTTTGCTAAGAAGACGACACACGCTTGTGTAATCGTGTATATTCGTCTGTTTGCCGTCGCTCTGCTCAAGGCCGGACTTGTCCTCCGGTAGCTTTTCGTTCCCACAGTCACCTTATCCGGTCCCACAGACAGGCGAGCAGCGAGACTCTGTCAGTCCACGATCCTTTTCCCAGAAGAACTGCTTCTCTGACCCCCCCCCCCACGCCCAGTGAGGAATGGTAAAGGAGGGGCTGGCAAATCCCCAGGAGACGCTCAACTTTTCCGGCTGTTTTGGCTTTTGTGTGCGGTCTGCGTGCCGGACGGGAAGCCAAAGGGACACCTGGCCCAGCCCGGCTCCCCACTCAGCTGGAAAGGTGTGAGCTGTAAAGGGAGGTTAGGGGCTTTGCTCAAGGGCCCAATGGCGAAATCAATCTACCAGACATGGGGTTTGAACCCTAACCTACAGTGGCCACACACAGCCCCCCGATAATATCACACCTCCTCCATCTCCTTGTAATGAAGATGTGAGGCATCTGTTCATCCCTGCACTGTAAGGACTGCCTACCTCAGAGCCCCCATCGGCACTGCCTAATCCAAGCCTCGCTAGTCGAACCCTGGGACCTCTCATAATGCAGCAGGGCTGTGCTGCAACATTTTTGGCCAATGGAGTAACCAAAAATGTGGGAAAAGAAACAGATGAGACATTTAAAAAGAGAATTATTCCGACAGCCTGGATATCAGCCATTTCACTGCTTCTATTTAAATCGACAGAATTTACATTTTACTTTCTGGTAAACAACTTTGAGATCATTTTTCTTGACGCACGGTGGTAATAAGATGTCTTCTGATTAACATTAAACATTTACTGGATTTTCCTTCCCTTTTTATGACTGTTAATATATTTGATAGGATATAAAGTTAATAGAAAACAAATCATTTCTTTTGTCTGTGTTATACAGTAACGAATAGAACCATTTTCCAGCTGCTTTTTTTAGTACCGGGAATAATCTTAATACGTCACAATAAAAAATTAAATGTAACATCTGAAACAGCAAAGCTTTTCACCATATCGTTGCATGATCAATTTAGTATTATTTTGCCGCAGTTATGTTTCTAGGCATGTACAGTAGGTCAAAGGTTAGTCAAAGTTTATTTTTTCCTTTGTCTGAAAGGCTTAAAATGTGCTATCCTGTCCCAGTGGGAAGCCTTAAATTAGACCTCAGAAGGTATGTGGTAAATAAATTATATAAATAAGTTTGGCTTAGGTCTCATCTTTTGGGTTTGCTTTCATCTTGAAACTGCTCTGGGTTTGAAGCCTTTACAAAGTGGATTATTTCACATGTGCTGCTACCATTACGGCAGTGGAGGTTCTGAGCTGGATCTTTTTTAGGGTTTATCTGAGATTTATGGTTTTTGATGGGGGCGTGCCACGTTAGAGACGTGCCCCGGCGTGCCGCCCATGCGTGTGAGCGACTGGGCGGGGCCAGGCTGTGGAACGGGCAGCCAGGTGTCCCGCTCGACCCCAGGTCGGCAGGGGGGGGCTGTCTGTGCTGCTGGAGTGTAAATTGCATGGTATGGGGGCCTGTGTCAGTCAGTGCTGGGTGGGGGGGGGGGAGGCGTTCCCAGGGATAGCGTGCGAGTGTGATACCAGGCTGTCTTGCTC